CCAGAGGACAAGGCGGTCTGAATCAACACTCTTCGTTCCCTACAATTCATAAATACCAAAACATGTGATACGGAAGTATGGCGGCGACATCTAACCGCCCCACGTAACCAACACGGAGTAAGTAATTAATGGCCTCGTCAAGAGATGGCGCTACTGGCGCTGCACTCACAAAGTATAGAAGCTTACATCGCACAAGAGAAATTCGAAGGCTAACTCTTCATATAAAAGTCATTTATTTTTGCAAATAGGCTTATAAAAAGCGCTTTTAGACGTCCCAGTATTACTTTATTCCTACTACTGCTTAGGAATAATAAATGAGCTAATGCTGAGAAGAAGCAGTGCAAGAAACTAGAAGAAATAAGAAAGATATGCAATGTCCGACCAACATCAGACGCGCCACTGCACAGTAACGAAGATCTCCCCCTTTCGCCTACCTAAAGAAATATTTCAAAAAAGTAATATATATTATGAAAAAAAGTTCGGTATACCGCCTGTGCATTCAGCCACACATTAAATTACCACGAAATTAATAATTTTCTCAATTTAATTAAGCTAAAATCGAGGACGTGTTCAAAACTCGTGTTATGCAATAGTAGACTTTTTGAGGATCTCGATGGGGCAGGTTGTTAGCGTGTTCGGGTGCGATCGTTGAAGCTAAGCTACTTGCAATGTCCGTCCATTGGATGGGTGATCAAAAACTTTTTATCTAGAACTTTTCAGTGATTTGGTAGGTACGATAGACATGGCTGTATCTGCAGTCGTTAGCATCCACACTGGGCCCTGGGTTATGGCCCAATCCCATGGCCCATTCCATCCATAGGGAAGGCCTATGCCCTATCAGTAGGCTGATGATGATGATGTTGACTTCTGCATTTAGATTTATATGCTCTACTCTTAAAATTAGAGATCAATTTATCGTGAATTGTGGTGTTTGCTAAAGGAGGAATTAGACTGTTCATCAAAAGTGATTCAGTTCTGCAATGATTTGTGAATGATGAACAGTGAAATGCATTGTTTGTATAGACGCATCACTTTTGATGAAAGCTAATATTCCATTCCGTGTGGGATTCCCGCGTGAACACCATCTGTGTCGATTTTTTTTTAAAGAATTAATAGAGTTTGTGCGAAAAGAGAATGAGATTTTGATTGGAGGGCGCTGTAGTGCTTTTCTACCGTATTTGTAAGGTTTTACCCCTTTTAGACATGATTAAATACAAAAAACCGCAAGAAATCACAACAACAAACAAATCCGTATCAATTCAAAACTTTGACGTTTCACAGATTGCTGGGTTTGATTGCCAAATAAAAATCTTAATGTTAGTTCCGTTTTCCGCCACGCCCATTTTTTTCCGCACAGACTTTACTGAGACAGTGAAAGATATAAAATGAGAAGGAGCTGTTGCTTTTTAGACGTTTCCCTTGTCGTTTATTGCCGATGAATGATGACAGATGCATGATTGATGCTAGTGAAAACAATCGGGAGCCGGATGCTTTCATCGCGAAGGCATATTTCGATGAACGTCAATTTAGACATTTCATTTTGCGGATTTCCATCTATGAAGCATAGAAAATTAAACCAAAACTTAACCGTTTAATTTCAGCTTAAGTATTTACTTGTCGCACACCTGCGTGACCATGCTTGGTACTTAATATTTTTAAAAATATATTCCTAAAATTCAGGTTAGAAAATTTAATTTGGTTGTATCATAATGTTTTTTTTTTGTTAATTCTCCCTTTTCAGGGAAGGCAAGGGGAACAATGCCCATACAGCCTAGTCTTAAATTATTCTGTTTTTCTTCATTTTACATTAGAATGTCGGTGTGACGCATTCTAATGTTTCTTGATGTGTTTGGCACGAAATGTATCGAGCTGGCTTTTTCGATAAGCTTCTGTGAGGTAGTCAATACTACAATAAAATTATCACGTCCACTTGACCGGAATAGCGTATATTTTGACGATTCTACTAATTCTTCAGTTACGCAGACAGTTGTAACACAAAATCACACCAATTTTATTTCACAATATCCACTATGAACGAATTTAAGAATAATTAAAATAAGACGCCAACCACACTCGATGAAATCCCGCCAAAAACTCTCTCTCATAACGAATTATCAAGCTGTGTGTCTATAGAAGCTAGGCAATAGCTTGACTGGCGACTTTTGAAACACATTAATGAGGTTGTGGGTGACGATATATTTGTTTGTACTGAAGGAGCGTACTTTATCAAAATTCGAACGCTTCCTTTTCCGCGTATTAGATCCAAAGTGACCAAACTACATCGCACAGACGTGGGAGAAGCGTTAGAAAATGGAATACTCTGACGATCAAGATATACCTTAAGTCATTTTATAAGGGCCGCTTGCACCAACATTGCTAATTTAAATGTATTTGTCTACATCCATGCTTTATAACATTATAACACCCATTATGAGGTTATAATGTTTTTTAAATATATTTCATAATAACACTCCTTCATTTTTAAATACCTTCCGCGCTAAGAGCTTACTCATCAGACAGCTAAATCTAAGCCCGATACATAATCTTGGGCTTAAAAGCCTCGATGACACGGGGCGAGTTTACAAGCTACTAGAGAACTCGCTGGCTTGTAGCTTGTAACTCGCCCCGTGTCATCGGCTTTTTTACCATCTGCTACTCGATGACACGGGGCGAGTTTACAAGCTACTAGAGAACTCGCTGGCTTGGAGCTTGTAACTAGCCAGCGAGTTCGCTAGCAGCTTGTCAACTCGCCCCGTGTCGTGTGTTAGACATGTTAATTTTGATGCTTCAATAATGACAATTGAGGTTAATTTTTAAATAATATTTAATTCAAATCAAATTAACACTTTATTACACCGATCTTATACGACATCGTTTTACAACATATTCATCTCTTATCCAGATCTATAAATACAGCTTAACTATTAATTACAGGCTTCATGTTTATCATAATATTGGTATAATAGCATTTTGTATAATATAAATGGGCGATATACATATATTTTTTTTATTAAAAAAATGCTCTTTTTTAAATTTTTTGGTCTTTTGAATAATAAAAGATAATATAAGATTAGCAAAGCAACGTCAAGTCAACAAGTTGATCAAAATTTAGCAAAGGGTCAAAAGTGGTTTAATAAGAACTTAGGAAAGTTAAGACAAATGAACTGAGTAATGAACAAATAATATGTTTAAAAATAATTCAAAATGCAAAAATATTGGTTAACACTTACTTATAATAATGATTATGTGTGAAAAATGGGATACAAACAATTTTATCATGAGTAAAAAAGATGTCAAAGTATCTGTTTTTAAATTTTTTTGTGCTCCATTTAATAATTTTATTGAAAAACAAAATTTCATTTGCATTCTAACAAGTTGACAAACACATAAAATATTCGTTAATATTTACAGAAGCAAACGTTTGCAGTTGAAGCAAATTTTGTAGTTTTCGGTTCGTGGCTTGTCAAGTGAAAATTGTCGCCCAATTCATAGACCGTCATAAGGCTTTTCATATAAAAAAAAAAATTAATATCCTTGATCTTTGATAGTAAATAATATTACTGATAAGTGTAGTAGTTATTGGATCAATAATGTCAACATAATTTAAATTATTCCAACAATTAATTAAACATATGATTGTAGTTTTCTTTCTATGATTAGTGGGTACATATTAAGAATACTATTGGCTCAATTTGTATATCAACATTGATAAAAGCAAAATCGCTTAAACGCCACTTTAGTAACTTTACAGAAAGGTGGATCAAAGTTTTTTTTTCACAAAAAAAATCATCCCTGTTTCACGCCAACTCCGTTCACACAAATCAAATTATATCACGCAAACGTCAACGAGTCCAATTGACGTTAGTGTCATATGATTTAGTACACATTTATTTCAGATAAGACAACAGATCTACAAATCCAAAGTAAAAATAGTACATTGTTACTTTCATAAACACATTGTGATTTCACAACACACTTAAAAAAAAATTAAGGTAAAAAAAACCTTTTTAAAAACAAACTTTTATTTAAATGCGCTAAAACTGTTAACCATGCATTGTCATCCAAACTGAACGTGTATGCAAAATTTCAGCTCAATCAGTTAAAAATATCTGTTTCTAAATTGATTTTCATTTTTTAGAAGTCCGCCATATTGGATTAAGAGTGACGTCACATTTTTTTCAGGTTACTCTCAGCAAGCCCTTTAATTTGATACCCATATTATAGGAATGCAATAAAAATGATTGGTCCGCCATTTTGGGTATGCCGCCATATTGGATTTAGAATGACGTCACACTCTTAATCATGCATTGTCATCAGAATTGAACAAGCATACCAAATTCCAGCTTAATCGGTTGAGGGCAAGTGCTTTAAAATTGAGTTGTAAGATTTGACCCGAACAAACATACATTGCAAGTTAAATAAAAGCTTGTTAAAACGGTGTCAATACCAAACAACCAAGCCAAATCTCTCGAGCCAAATCTAGCGGAGTTCACAGAAGTGACAGCTCGCTTCACCTTTGACTCGAGCTCTCGACTATCCGATATTTTAAGGATCAACTACGATTGTCTTTGTCTGATGCATCGATTGGTCTGGTATCGACACTTACACCACCAGGAGCGGTACTCTTGATACCCGTATTCGATGTATCGTGAACTTTGTCGTGTGGTGTCTTTTGCTTCATTACATTAAAATTATGAAAATTAGAGTAGAATGGACGCCGAGGATTAGCACGAATCACGATATATCAAAACTTATTCAACCAGAATGACAATAGGGATGATGACTATTTTTTTTTTCTTCGCTTATCAGGTAGATTATCAAAAAGTATGGACACGTATTTTTCTTTTTTCACATAATATAAACATTGCAGAGATATAGTGATTTGAAAAGTCGCATTACGTTACGTTTTAGTACACTTTTAAGTGAAAATTCACTAAAAAGTGACGTCACGAGCCCCTACTCCCAAACTTTGACGCGCTATAACTTTGTAATTTTTTGGTTGATTGCCCAAAAAATAAAAATACGTCTCCATTATTTTTTGATCATCTAACTGACGGACTAAATAAAATTTCGTTTACTGTACCCCGTCATCACCCCTATTGATTTTGTGGTGGTGTGGAAAGTCATGAATCAATTGTCTTATCTTTAATAATAAATCGTTTCTTACAAAATTGCTAAAGGCTTCTGTAATTTTTTTCTTACTATGTTACCGAAGAATGTATTTGTGAGCTATGCTCAACTTGATCTGACAGTGTAATAAAGTTCCATAGGTACTAGTTTTTTTTCGTATGATGTTATAAATGTTGACTTAAGTGCAGTCTCTTCAAAAATGACATTCTCAGAAAGTTCCAAATAAGATTTAAAATTACATTTTTATATTTCCAAATAAAACTCATGCAGTTCTAAATTAAGGTCAATACGCAGTAGGTACAAGTCGAAAGATTCAATTTTCTATTCAATTCGTTCCAAAAATACATTTTATGGCATATAGTTTTAAAAATAGATTTTTGGTATATCTGTTATAAAATTCAGAATATTTTGTGCTTGTAGAATTCCGTGTGACAACTGTTTGTCAGTGTGTTTTAATAAAACGTTAATCAAATCAATCATTTGATATGACATAAATAAGTTGCTTATTATGAATAAGTAAGAAAAACGCAATTCTTCATTATAACGATAATGATTTTAATGACATCCCAAGAATGGTAAAATTAGCAATTCAATTTGAAATTTCCTGTTACCAACAAAGCCTGTTACCAAAAATTAACAATGTACAATTTCGTGAAACATTTATGTGAAACTTTTTAAAATTGAACAATTAATATAATCAAGGTTTAAATTTAGAGATAATCATAAATACACATTCCGGAAGACACGCCTTGTAATAATTATAAAATATTTTACCTAATAAAGAAGCACATTTTACTGAAATCAATAGAAAATATTACTAACTGGACCAGCCATTGTGACCAAAGTGCAACAATAACAATAAATAGTCAACGAATATAAAAGAAAACTATTTAAGTAACAAGCTTTAATATAATAATTAATGACGTTTTATACAATGATAATAATCATTACAAATATTTTGGTTTAAATTCCCTTATAGCTTAACATTCACGCACATCTTTTCCTCTATTATCTACAACTTAAACAAATTTTTTCTTCAAATATTTAATCTATGAAAAGAACTTTTTTTTTTCTTCTAAATTTATAATAACAAATAATTTGATTTATTGCAAGCGAGCCAGTCCATTAGTCATTGCAATATCCAGTGACCGAAAAAGCATACCCAATTATACAACAACTTATAAAATACTCACAATTTAAAAATCACTTGACACACTCCCATCTCTGTGGTCCGTTCAAAAAGTTCGCACAAGTTCACTTTTAATAAAAATTGACATTTATAAATTCCTCTTCCGTACACAATTCTGTATTCTGCAACTTTAAAATTGCAAAGGCCGTTCCAATTTCAAAGTTCTGGAAACTCGGATCGCTCTGTCTCAAGTTATTTATTTAGAATTTGGAGCGCTTCCGCCCTGTAGATTTACTGGAGTTTAGTTTTTAATTATTAATGATAGCACTGAGCTCACGTGGAATTGGGCACACCGCCTTTTTCGAATCCATCGACGAGTGTTTCTAGTATGAATTTGATGGTTATTTTGTAGATATTCTCGACGTTTGGCGTGTAGCGATCCCCCAGTGTAGACTCGACCGCTGCTAGGAAAGGTGCTTCGATTTTCTGAAATGAAATGAAAGATCTATGAACATTTATGGAAAATAAACCAGTGAACGCCGCATTCAGATCTTATTTCAATTTAGGAAAGGTAGGAGAAGGGCACGGCAGATAATTTAATTACTATTATATTATTGAAGACTATCCAAATTACATAATTCTAAAACTGTTTGTTTGCTGCATTAGAGTAAGCTTGGCAGAACTCAAAGGAATAAAGAATAATATTAAAATTAGCAAGTTAGGGTGGCTAGCTGGTACAGCGATTTATTTCAGCAACCTTAGAACTGTCAAGTACTCTTATACCAGATTTTAACAGGATCAGTTATTTCAAGTTGGTTAGTCAGTACAGACCTGGAGTTGGAGAACTGAATCGCACAGATTACACGAAGTCTATAGTCTTGACCTCAACATCGTACTGTCTCCAAATCATTGTAATTTTATGCCAGTATCGGGTCAGAGGAGCTCGATGGCGCAGGTAGCTAGTGCGTTCGGCTGCGATCGTTGAAGTTAAGAAACTTTCGCATGGTCGGTCATTAGGTGGGTGACCAAAAATCTTCTATCTCGAGTTCCTCCGTGTTTCGGAAGGCACGATTATCCGTTGGTCCCGGCTGCATCGGCAGTCGTTAGCATCCGCCAATCCGCACTGGGCCCGTGTCATGGCCCAATCTCCCTATTTCATCCATAGAGAAGGCCTGTACCCCAGCAGTGGGGAAATTTAAGGCTGATGATGATCGAATCAGCACTGACTTGACTCCAATTCTGAGTCAGTATCTGACCTCGTGTAAAGCTCTGCCTATAAGATCAACAGAGCTGTTATTGCTATGATATTCTCAACTCATTTAAAAAAAATATGATTGAGAACATAATGTAATTCCTACAATGTATCTTTTTTTTATTCTTCTATAGATAGATTTCGATAAGTTTTGCATCGCAATTGAGTAATAGCGCTTTCACGATTGTCAGCATTCTTAAATTCTTTCCTAACATACTCGGTTTCGACATGTAAAAAAGGCCGAAACGAGCAAAGATCGACCGAAAGCCTGACGTGTTCCAGATTCCATCCTCAACTTGAAGCTCCAATAATCCTTTGATCAGCAACCGCGTTTGTTAAACATTTCACACAAAAGGTTCTCATATCAGAAACGTTTACATTCATATATTATGAACAAAGTATTGTGTATGAGTTTAAAGGATTTATCCTTCTTAAAACTCACTACAGTGGAAGTTTTTATGTTTGGGTGTTTTATTGCCTAGGTTTTAAAGATAAAAATGGAATAAGCTATACAGATGTTCAATTACCTAAATTGAACCAAACATTAAACTGTGATAGTACCTTAGATTAAAACAAAAAGGGTAGATACGGCACTAGCCTCAAAAAAGTGATGCGCATGAATTGTGGTCCACGACCCTAATCGCTTTAGTCACAACTTGACATGCAAACGACGTACATGCGAATGCCAAAAAGAAATATTGCTAATATTTTGTGTTTATATGATAAAACAATGCTTAAGTGTGTTTTTAAAAAGTGCTGAAATTGCTCAAGAACTAAAAATAAAACCCACGGCATCACTTTTCATTCGTAAGTACTATAAAATATATTTTTTCATCAAAATTGCTGTTTGTTTTGAATCTTATTCGGTAGTGACGTCGAGTACTGGTCGCGTGATTGGTCGGTAGTGCAGTGACGCGGATCTCACCGTCTCGTTCGCGCTGCCGTTGAAAATTAACGTGCTGTTTCATTCGGGTCGGTAATGCAGTGACGCGGATCTCGCCGTCCCGTTCGCGCTGCCGTGGGATCAGTTTTTGTTTGATTCAAGTATGAGCATACCGTATCTACCCTTTTTGTTTTAATCTGAGTATAGTACCCTACTACAATACAATACAATTGAAAAAAATATTTAATCATCAAAATAATCTAAAGGCAGAAATTTACTAACCTACCTGTCATGTTGTGTCGTGACGCGTCAGAGAGGTATCGGTTTCATACATTTATTACGGTTAGAATTATATTTCTGTGTCGCAATCTGTCGCGATGTGTCAACACCGTACTCACTCTAAGCGTACACAACCGTAAGAAACCGATAGCTCACTGGCGTGTCACGACACAACACAACAGATAAGTATGTATATCTTTGCCTTAAGCAATATGATCTTATTTGACCTTAAGTTTTGATAGATTTTTAATATTTTTTAGTCTTTTGTTAATAATTGAATTCGATTTATTTGTGACTAAATAAAAAGAACCTTGGAATAAATTATACATTTCATAACGATCATATAAAAATATCAACTTATAAAACTTGCAGTTTGCATAAATGTAGCATGTAGCTTATACTTCTAGTCACCCCTTATTTACACCAAGGTATAATAATCGTTCGGAATAGATGCTTTCAACTATGGACCGAATATTTTGATCAGAGATCGCTTTCGAAGTGTATCTGGTATCGAACAAACGTAATTAAATATACACACATATAATTAAACAGGCAAATGTAATTAAATTTCCTTAGATTGATCAAGCCAATATGAGCCGATCTAAATTGTCATAACCTCTAAGCGCACCTTATGGGCAAAGTTGATTCACTTCTGTGTTCAGTCTGCAACATAGTGGAGGATGTGCAACATATCCTAATGGAATGTGCTAAGAACGAGGCAGAAAAAGTACAATAATTCCCACGCGATTCGAATATCGGAAAGTGCAACAGGATCCTAGCTTCTCGTTATTCGGAAGAAGCGAATATGTTGTATAGCATGGCAAATTTAGTTATGACCACTAGAAACTAATTCCTTTGTCATAATAATGTATGTTTTGTACAAGGGTGACATAGTCAATGATGTGACTAAACCCTCATTTATTATTAAAGGAAAAAAACAAAACTTTTGCTTATTTAAAAAGGGGGTTGGTATTCAGTGTAAAGTGTTTTGTGATCCTAGCATAAGAATCGCGGCCATGATAAGTATAACAAGGCTAACGAAATCAGGCCGCACCGAGCCGGATGCCGGATAGCCCGGGTGTGCGGGTATCCGGGTATCAAAGGGCTCTAACACGTCCGGAAGTTCCACGGGGAACGTGAACTTTTTTATAATGAACTTAAGTTCAAAAGCGATGAATTATGGCGGTAACTTGGTTTGAGAACTCTACGGGATCTACTGTGGGATTTAGCAGGAAAATATGTTGTTTACCGCAGATGTTTGTTGATGAATACGAGCATTTGTATTCTACTCATGGATGTTTAATATGTATTTCTATATAAATATACTTATACATATATCAGTAACATATATTCTATCCGTTACACAAGTACAGCGCGTACTTTGGGGCTAGGCTAGTTGGTGTGAGCGTTGGAAATATTTATATTGTCAACTAAACTCCTACAGTACGGCATGCACAGATTAAAAATACAATCAGTTATTTATATATGTGCTTAAATTAAAGGCATGCACAATTATTTTATTTATGCCGCTATGTTCTCTTTACCTATCCCACCCGGGATAGATAAATTTGTTCTATGCTGTTTTTTTTTTCTTTTGGTGTGTTAAGTTACAAGGTTTGGGTTTAAAGTTGAGTTAAGAGTTAGGCAACGGGCGACTGATATTAAACTGTAGCGTGTTTAACGAAGCTATACCTAGGCCTGTTTGTCACATGTCACATTAAGAAATAAAAATTCCCTGCTTTTAGTGACAGTTTTTTTTTATAGGTTTTAAATGAGTTGACAACTACTAAATGTTTGGTTTTTAATGTAAGTAAGTACCAATTACATAAAGACAGCAATAATCCTATAAAAACCAACTGTAATTATAATAAGAATATTTTATTATGTGTATACAATGCTATTTTTCGTTTTTATTTTTACTATAGCATTATTTTCTTTTCTTTAACAATGGTGCCAATTCTGGCGTGATTCTATAAACTTAAAACTAAATTTAACATCAGTCTCTCCTTTTCATTCTGTATAGAGAATGACAAGGATATACTGCTGTCAAAAAGTTTAGGTTTAGAGAATCATGCTAGAATCAACACCACTGTCGATCTGTATGATCTGCATCTTCTTTAACCCTGTTTACTTATCAAATGCTGCCTGAATTTTATGCATTGAATGCATGTATTGCATCATTATTACAAGTTTTATCTTTAAAGAATTAACTTTACCAAGGAGTGATAGTTTAACTAATTTGTTTTTCTTATTAGTATTTTGTTTAATTTTTTTACTTGCAACTGAGCTGCAACTTGATTGGCTTTCTTACGTCATGTTATTGTTCTAGAAAATCTGTTCCCATTTTTGTCTACAGGTTCTAGTGTTTCTTTTATTAGTTCGTCACCTGTTTGTATGTGCAGTAAGGCTAAAGGGAAAGATCTTCCTTCGAGCTGGGTGATGGTAGCTCGGTGGCCGCGACCCGACTGATGTTGGTCGGGCATTGCATATATTAAGTGTTTGCCTCCGAATTTCCCTTGCGCGATTTGGCTTTCATACTTATTAATCGCAGCGCCGGTAGCGTAGCGAGTGATTAATTCCTCCATGTTGGATGAACGTGGGGCGTGTAGATGTCGCAGCCACATCACTACTCTCAGAGACCGGAGGTCGATAGTCTGTGTTTTCAGCAGTCAGTGCGTCAAAACTTGCAAGTGCCAGTGTGCTGCAGGATGCCCTAGTCTGCGGGGAGTCGAGACGGGTGGGGTAAGGGCGAGTTGCCGGTGCTGCAATTTTGCTCCAGTCTACGGAGTCGAGACAAGTGGAGTGTGACAGTGAGTCCGAGCTGCTGGTGTTCAGGGCTGCCACGCCGGTGTGCTTGCGGCCGACGAGAGAGAGAGAGAGGTTCCAGGCATTGGCTGCGAAGACAAGGTCGGGAAGATAGCGTCGGGTGCTGCCGAAGGTCCAGGAACCAGGAACAGGAGCAACTTTGAGAGCTACGATGGAACCTTGAGACTAATGCTGGCTTGCTGTGTGACTGCTGGTGTTGCTTGACCTGATGAGGAAGGGGTATGAGGATTGATTTCTGCGCTGCGA